CTACGTACGTATAGTATAGTATATATAGTAGTGTGTGTGTGTGTGTGTGTGTGTGTGTGTGTGTGTGTGTGTGTGTGTGTGTGTGTGTGTGTGTGTGTGCCCTTGTATTTTTGGATGTTGACAACAGATTAGGATGAACCTCTCATAAACAGAGCTGCAATGTGCGTGATAATCTGGATGGTATTTACATCACATCACCATGCTGTGTGAGATTTTATTGATCTTTTTTGAAAATAGTTCGACTAAATATAGCGTCATGTAATATCATACACAGCCCTAACATTCACTGTGACGCAACTTAGTACGGTCTGACTCTCCATATACTGTGTGCATTTGAGTGCTTCTGTTTCTCTAAGATTAAGCAACCACTTTAAAGGGATGCAAATTAGACTATTATTTCTTTGTGTCAAGAAAATAATTAACGTACTAAAAGATAAACGCTCGAGGTAAATAAATAAAGTAGGAGACATGTTTTGGGGCTAAATCAGTTTGTGTTAGAGTGAATATGATCTTTGATGTGATGTCTCCTCTGTATTTGCGGGTCCCATTGTTAATGTTGTTATTGTTATTATTATTATTGTTATTATTATTATCATGCGTAACTTTCCACCTTCTTCTCCAGTAGGACTCAGGACTTTTCCTTTCCTTATACATGTGATGTTTTGGTGTTGTTTTGTTTCTTTCCGTTAACCGTCAAGGAGTTTGTGTGTTTCTCTTAGTATTCAAAGATACTGTTATGTTTGGCTGTGAAAAAAAAAAAAGTATTATTATGAAGGGCAGACCATCTATTTGTATTTATTTTGTTTTTTTTAGAAAGGGGCAGGTCACATAAGATTTTATTCTTCTCCCTGCTCCTTTTCGCTCAATGGTGTTTTGGTAGTCATGTTTTGTGGCAATTATTGTACATTTGGTTTTGCGCACCATGAGCGGGACAAATAAAAATGAAATGAAATGAAATAGGTTCCTATACATTTCTGTGTTTATTATAAAGTTTAAATACTTGTATACATTGTATATGAATCAGTGTACAGAGCAATAAGTGCATCTTGGGTCCCATTTCTTTGTTTTGAACCAGGTTTCCAACAAAGAACTCATCAGAAAATAGAGTTTGAACTAAAGCATCATAGCCTGTTGTGCTGCTGACAGTCTGCAATATTATATTCCACGTTATATTACCTCGATCTATATCAACAAAATCTATACCTCAGCCTTAGTCTTCAAATATATATGCAAATGTGCAGCAAAGCTCCTCCCAGACGTGAGGTGTCTCAGTGGGATGTTATTTATCTCCGACTAGAAAACTCAGCAGCTCTGGAATGTGATAGGCCGGTATTAAACAAGATGTAACCCCATGTTGTTTTCTCCTGGTATTAAGTGTTTTTGGTGAGCTTTGGGGATTTAGAGCTTATAGATTTTACTGTTTTGTTAACCTCCCCAAATCCAACCCTTCAATCCTATATCCAAACAGGACAGCACACGTATATTTCTATCTAATTTGTGCTGAACACAGTTATGAAATTGAGTTGTACTTATGTTGTTCTGCTCTCCTCTGCAGATGGAACACCGGCACCGTAAGAAGGAGACCCCGGCACCCGCCAGCACCCACCACCTGTTTGTCCATGTAAAGAGTCTGATGAGCGCCAATCTGGGGGAGGAGCTAGAAGTCTTCTTCCATATTTATGATGGACGGGAGAATCGGCCACTCAGGTATATGCAACGAGAAAATAATCCCTCTTAAAGAAGCCAGTGTGTTTTCCCTTTCCTAGAGTGTTCTATAAAGTTTTTAGTGCATGTAAATGGTCTAAAAGGGTAAAATCCCAAGTCCATTATCCTTTGTTGACTTTTGTAACATAGTAATATCACTATGTACCACTAGCGCTGCAACACATTGTACATGATAGGCTGAGGGGCGGGACATCTCTAAGCGGACCAATCACAGCAGAGCCGGCCAGCTAACCAGTCAGAGCAGACTGGGCTCTGGTTTCAGACAGAGGGTGAAAAGAGGTGCTGCAGCACAGGCAGTATGAGAAATGTTTTTGAATATTAAAGCATAGACATGTCACAGTAGAGACACTCAATATAAATATAATCCTGACAATGAGCAGAATAGGGCCCCTTTGATCTAATTGTAATGGAAAATGCATCACCTCCCTATACTAGAAACAATATTTGCCTCATTGATATTCCTAGGTTATAAACTTTCATTACTATTACAGGAAGTGAGGTGATTTCTGTTGTTTTGTACTCTCAAAGGCTATTATGTTAGCTCATATATCCATGGCGATGTCAGTGATTGCATGGGGGACATTTCAAAGCTCCACCTTCTGTCAGGAAGACTGCTTTAATTATATTCCTGAAGATTAATTAAGTGAAGGAGGTTGTTAAAGCTCACTTGGACACATAAAAGTGGGCAAGGCCGTGCTATTTAGTCATATAAAAAGTGTCCTTGCTGTCCACATGAAAGAGCCTATCCCCTCCGGGAGTCTGCAAGCGTCACACACTGCAACACACACACGCCCACGTGCTCCTGAAGGGGTGTCGCCCAAATAAAAGACTGTGTTTAAACTCCCCGGTTTCAGAGTTCAAAGCGGGGAGAATTCCATTTCATGTCAGAAACAAGTGAGTTCGTCAGGCAAGGGAAACGAGTGGGTTGAAAAATGAGCTGAAACTTCTTTTGATAAGTCATGCTCGTGTTTGACGCTGACTCTCCGCCCCATAGGGTCACATCAGAGGAATAAGGGTGACATTGATGGGACTCATTGTTTCATTATAATCGTTCAGCACGCAGTAGCTCCATTTCTGTTTCTACTGAATAAAATACATTATTCATCATATCACTGACACAAAATGCAACGTTTGAGCGAACTTGGTTGACCTTAGTCTCTTTAAACCTTGCATAAAGAGTATTTGGTTTTCCTCTCTAATATTAATAACAGCACAGAGGTTTTATTATAACAAGTTTAGAGAAAGAGAAGTTAAATCTGCATGTTTAATTTGGCCCTACGCATCCATTCTGAAAATGTGTTTGAACTTTTGGAATATCTAAGTGTTTCTAAACGGCCCTAGTGTGCAGCTGTTTGTTTAAATGTCTAACAATAATGATTTTCCAGACTATTCCCAGCCTCTATTTTGTCTAGGTGGGTAATTACTGTAGACTCCAGTGGTGTAACATTAAGTTTCACTTGATGTGTACTTGGGTGTGTACACCCATTGGAAATGGATTCACTGCTCATTCTCTTAAACAGAATGAAATGGGCTTTAGTTGTTAAGCCAAATCATCTGTCAAAATGTTGTACTGAAGATATCAACAAATGCTTTCTTATCCAAACCAAATACAAACAATTAAACAGTATAACAACACACAGATATACAAAGCTCTACTCAATGGGCTAATTACATATATGTTTGGAGGGGTTTTGAGGGAAAAGGCAATCAGAGGATTCAACCATTGTGCCTTTCCGTCTTTGAGGAAAATCTCGGCATGGTAGCTCGCCAACATTGTCCCTCACTGTCTGGTCACACACATAAACAGAGACACGCACACACATTAGTGCAAGATGCCTGGCATGGAGCCATTTCGACTCTTCCTTCTGTGCTGGTGGTTCCTGTGAGTGTGCGTGTGTGTGTATCAGAAACCAGATGGGGGTCCGACCCGTTTTCTCAGTACCATGCCAACACCAGCAGCCCCTGTGCACCATGGGAGCTTCTTTGTGTTGAATACAGGCTCCTTGTCTGGCTATTCCAGCAGGACACACACTCTACCATGCTCACACATGATCCTGTTGCTCTTTCTGCTCAACTAGACATGTGTGTGTTATTTCTGTGTGGGCAGCAGAGGCCCAGTGTGTGTTTTTGACAAATGTAATTGGTAGGTTGTGTGTTCCCTACCTGTTCACTCCACTGTCTTGGCATTTCCCCGTCTTTCCTACGCAGCCTCTAGGGGTAGATTTAGGGGCGAGGGGGAGGAGAAGCAACAGTGGCAGTTAATTTAGCCAGTATTTTACACACCAGGCGCTGCCCCATCCCCCCACCGCCCCCTCATCGGGTGAGCGCACAGCTCCTAATGCAACCATCGATACCAGGAGAGGGAATAGGGAGCGCCGTGTGGTCCCAGAGGGGAGGAAAAATCGGCCATTCATATTATGTTAATTTGACCGGTGATAGAGGGAGATAAGGTCCCACGGGGGGGACACTGGTCCTCTTAGCTCGGCTGATCAACACGCTGCAGCTGTGAGGGAAAACTCAGCGGCAGGGAGCGTTAAAAAGCGTGCACGTGTGTCCGTGGTTTGCAGGAGTGGCTGTTAATTGGCAGTTGGGGTTTCAACAATGGAGCACTAATTAGGGTTGGGAAAAAAAGAAAGTGAGCAAGTCTAATGCAAAGGAATCCTTCTCCATACGGCTGGATAAATGGCCCGGAAAGTTACAGAGTGCAGCTAATGAGGAACAACCGCATCCAAATCCAATCGACTCATTCCAATACGGACGATAAAAGGGAAACTGTACAGAAGGAATACATGTATGAAAAATATAATATAATTTATATAATTAATCATGAGCAGCTTAATTAATTCAAACGGGTACACACACTGCCCTACATACACAAAACACTGAATTACAGTGCAGGAAGCAGCCTCTTATTTACATCATGGCAACTCTAAAGCGCTTGTATTTACAGCTTTTAGTAGCTCAGACTCTTATAACACATCCTAATCCATTGTAGCCTTATGTCGTAGGAAGTTATATAGGATCTGTTGTGGTGAATTCTGCTCTTGTGTGAATGGGGCTACTGTAGCTTGCCAGAGACTTGGCTCATTGTCAGGCGCTGGTGCATTACAAGGTTTTCTCTCTGCTTATCGGCGGACTGTGAAAGTCACCTAACTGGATTAGGGCTCCGCTCGCCAGCCAGGATGAGACGAGCGTAGCAGGAAGCCTCCGCTGCCTCTCTTTTGAAAGCGTGTGTGTGAGATAGAGACAGAGAGAGGACCGGGTACAAAGAGAATGAAAAGGCGATCTGTGTTCGTCCTTTTCTGTGCTTTCGCCCGACATGCACTCAATTTCCTCGCCTGCACGAATGGCGGGGTACGGGGCATTTGAGGCCAGAGTGGTTATTTCGAGTAAGTTCATCCTCTCCAACTTTCCAAACCTAGTCAGACAAGCCAGAAAATGTACTTCCAAATTGGTTGGTTTTTCAGCCATGTTGGTCTGAACTGAAATGCCAACTATTAAATACATTGCCGTGACATTTTGTACAGAAAAAAACATTTTAATTTCCCGTTGAGGATCAGTATATTCCTCTTATGTCTTCTTCATTATCATCCCTCAGAAGATGAATCCCAATGGCCGTGGTGATACCCTAACGGCCCGTCCACACACAGGCATGAAAAAAATCTTTCAAAGCTTCGCCCATTCACTTGAATGGGGTGACGCAGAAGATTTTTAATCTTCGCCAAACTGCATTGTGGGGAGCGGAGCATGGCTTTGCAAGCATCGTGAGCATCAAAAGTTGAGCAATGTTCAACTTTTGATGCTCCCGATGCTTTCGAAGCNTTAGCTCTGTTGGGGCAGCGGGAGGTGGAGATGTGTTCCAGAGAGGGCAGGGGGCAGCCGATGGTTTTCTCTGCCATCCTGATCACTCTCTGCAGGGCTAAGCCCTGCAGAGAGTGATCAGGATGGCAGAGAAAACCATCGGCTGCCCCCTGCCCTCTCTGGAACACATCTCCACCTCCCGCTGCCCCAACAGAGCTAACAACATCACAAAGGACAGCTCTCACCCAGGTCACAGACTGTTCTCTCTCCTGCCTTCTGGGAGGAGATACAGGAGCTTCAAGTCACGGACAAACAGACTCAAAACGGTTTCTACCCCTGGGCCGTCAGGCTGCTTCACCACCACACATAATGCAATAACCATAACCATTCTCACACATACACACACTTTTAATGCACTTTATATACTATTTTTATATCAATATTTTTAACAATTTATTCCCCCCGTATGATTGTTGTCTGTCCTATTGCCGTGTTTTTTAGTGTTATGCATTTGTTTGTATTTTTTGCACACCGGGACAGAGTTGCACCCTGAATCTCGTTATACTCTGTGTATAATGACAATAAAAGGCTTTAACTTAACTACAGCCCTGGGAAAGCACCATTGTTATTTATAATTCAATTACCAATTTGATCAACTTAGCATTTTACATTTTGTTTAATTACGTTTTTTGTATCTTAGTTTTTATGAATTATATAATTTTTGTTTCATTGCATTTCATTTTATTTATGTTGTTCTTTTTGTGAAAATGTTAGAACAGCGCTTAGAAAAGTGGTATTTAAATACATTTATTATTACATGACTTAATTGAATGCTCGATTCTGATTGGTCAATTGGGACATTTCAGAGGTCAATATGGCAGTAGTAGAGACCGTCGTTAAGCACTAATGACCGTTGCTAAGGAAGATCTAGAGAGAGGTTAAAAGACATTTTCTAAGCCACACGATACGATACGAAAACCACCCTTTACCTTAACAGTGAGAATTACACTGTCTTAGTTAGTACTGCGTATACATTCAAACCTATTTCCTTCTGTAATAGTGATACACATCCAGTAATAGTCACCTCCGTGTGAGATGACCCTCATGTAGGGCTCGATGACCTTCATGTTGATGCGGTGCTCCTGCTCCCCGATGACCACGGTCCTCCACAGCTTCCCGTCCTGACGCTCCTCCTCTGCGCTGTACGTTGGGATGGAATAGGACGGCTCACTGGGCCTGGAGGCTGGGTTAGGGTCTGATGGGAGCAAATACTGAGTTAGAGGTACTGGGGCAACATCAGTGAGGACTGGTGTGAAGCTGAAGCAGCTAAATATGATACATGTTCATTACATTAATGCAAACAATGTATACAATATCTGTTTTTATAATTACTGCACATATTTTATTCCATTCTATACTGCTATATTTTACTATATTTGTTATTCTTTTTTAATGTTATTATAGTTTTCTTAAAATAGTTCTCTATCTGTGCTTTTAATTCTTGTTTTACTTTTATGTATGCACCACGACATCAAGTCAAATTCCTCGTACGTGTCCACATACCTGGTGATAAACCTGATTCTGATTCTGTTCTCTCTTTCTTATGATGACATTTTGACTTATTAAAGAAGAAAAGAACCTTAAAATCATAAGGCGCTTTCACACCGGAGTACTTTTCCCGTTTAGTTCCGTTAGTACCCCTTATTTTGCGTTCACACCAAAAAGAGTACTTAGTGCCGGGAACTCTTACCCCCCTTTTTAGTGCCTGCTAGAGAGGTGGTACTTTCCTGGTGAGAAAAAAGTACCAATTTCTATTGGCTGGGCGAATTGCCAACCACGCCCCGTAAAACTCTGAAAAATGTTGTGAAGCCGCCATTGTATTTGCTGGCATTAGCATTATTCGCATTAGCATTAGCCCCTCGCAGCAATGGAGAGAGACTAACTTATGGCAACACGAAAGAAAACATGGGAGCGGTGGAGATGAGGAGGTGTCAGCGTTCTGGTGATTTACTCGGAAGGCTTCAGTAGAAGCTGCTGGGAGTCCCAGCAGCTTCTACTGAAGCCAGTCCCCAACTCCGGGGACTTCCGGCCGGGGACTTCGGGCGGCAGTATACGCCGTGAAGTGGTTTGCGGCCTGCCAGTAAACCCAAAGCAGAAGAAGAAGAAGTGACGTCAGCGGCTTCATTTGCGTAATCTTCCCTCAGGGACTTATTCTGGTGTGAACGCGATCTGTACTTAGTTCCATGTGGGTACTAAGTGCCGGGTGTGAAAGCGGCTATAGTAAACCCTGTTGGTCTGGAGCACTGTAACATTACATAATGATAACACTTATTATAATGTTGCAGGGATTTAATAAAACAAACAAACTTAAAAACAGCAACACACATATTTCTCAGAGAATTTTCACAGTTTTAAAAAGCTAACTCCGGACTCCCTTATTAGTTTGGCTTTTAAAGGTCACCTGTCATGCTATTTTTAGGCAATAGCATAGGTCTCAGATATATATAAAAAAAACATGTCTATGAAGTGTTTTGCTCAAATACCAAACAGATCACCCATT